CTTAAATAAATACAAGAGCAAAGTAGACATAGGCACTTGACTGCAAAGTCAAGGTAAAACACTTGGACGAACAGATCTCCATGCCAGAGGCCCAGGACACCAGTTTATTTACGTGTTTATAACTTTTATATATTCATATATTTATGACTTCCTTCCTTGAAGTTGCAGACATTTTTCTTTTCAATAATTGCACTATAATTTCCCGCACTTGACATTTTTTTTTTAATCCTCTGCTGAGGAAACATTGCATGAGATAAATAAGTTAGTTCGTTGGCTCATTAAATTGCAAAAACAATGCTAATATGGGCCCTTTGTCATTTCTGACAGGAATGTCATCCAGAAAGGCAGAGATGAGCAAGCCTGGGATGACCAAGAAGGGCCAGTGCTGGGGGTTCTTGGTCTGATGTCTCTGATGTCATTTGTCTGATGTAGTCTGTAAATAAAAATCAGGACTCCGCAGTCCTCCCCAACCCCAACTCCAACCTGTGATGCCGTCACCCCTCAGACACAGTTTTGTACTGGGCAGGTCACAGCAGCCTCTTGTGTTTTCAAACCGGATTATCTACTTAGTAAACACTCACATAGCCGTAGAGACAGGATAGTGGTATCCAGAGAGCCGAAGCACTTTGAAGAGGCCTCAGGTCTCCCTAAACCCCTGTCCAGTCATTCGGTTCCACTGTGGCTTTCATCTCCAAAGAGACAATCACTCTTCCTCCCTCCCGCTCAGGACGAATTCAGTGACTTGTGTCGATCCCTCATGTTAAAGAAGGCCCGTTGGGTGGTGCAGCTGCAGCTGTCCTTCCGATGTTCGGAGGAGCTCTGCACCTATGTATCTGTGCTGGGTGCTGAGGCCCCTGTAGAAAAGCATCCCTATTACTGGGGCTCACCCAGGCAGAACCAACCAAGCTGGCCAAATGGTTTCTCTGCTTCACCTGGCTGTCAGATAGGGGCCGCCACCTGCTCGTTGATTGGCACGGGGTACAGGGGTCCAAGCAGGTTTCCCGAGACATGGGTCTCCCTATCATAGGATGTCATGGAACTTGCTGGGTTATCCCCTAGCAACAAAAGGGATCACAGGAGATACAGCTGAACAGTCACGAAACCATACGTCTGTTCCTGTCTCTCCATCCCCAGGGAGATGAAGAAGGGTGTCAGCTAAGGCCTTCTGATGACCCAAGAGGGTGGTGAAGTTTCTGTTTGATAGATATTGATGAGATACTGGATTCAGGCAGACTTGGGCAGTGATCCCAGTATCCTCACCAGCTCTGAGACCTTCTGGGCCTCCACTAAGGAACTTTTAAGACTGGTGAATAAATTAGACATCTTTTTAAGATACCTGAGGCAGCTGATCCTGAAATAGGTATTTGAAATGCCTATCACTGTTTTTATAAGCTCCCAAGGCCTTCTTGGAAATTCTTGGAAATTCTCCAAAGCCTGTGACAGGGAACATCAGAGAGAGTGTCATCATTGTAGCTGGTGATTGTCCATCATCAAGCAGAGATGCCAAACACTTGTGAAACAGCAGTGTTTCAAGCCCCCCAAACCAGGACAGCCTGTAAGAGTTTTAAAGTAGATGGCAAACACTGTGTATTGAGTTCCTAGGTTCTCAAAAGAGATTTGGTTCCAAAAGCACCCTAAATCTACGATACATCCATCTGGTGTGGCTTTGGCAATTTTGAGAAATGTCAGAGCCACACTATATTTTGCTGTAAGGAAAACCATCCTAGAGCCAATGGCATAGAGACAGTGACTTCTTACTTCCGAGTAGGCAGTGAAGCTGGGGCTGGGTTGCCGAAGATATGGGGCAAGTCTGTGTTCACCAGGGATGTCTCACGTCCTCCTTGGGACATCAACCATCTGAGGTCAAAAGCAAAGCTGGTACACACAGCTAGGCAGACGCAGGCACATGTCACCCTGCATTTAGGAACAGGAGCCAGGAGAGCCTCAAGACCAAGAGACAGCGAATGGATTTATGTCCACCGTGAGGCCGGGGCGGGGAATACAGTGTGCATCAATATTGCAGCAGAGTCAGACACTAGGACCAGTGAATCTTTCTCCATACGTGTGAGATGCTGTAAGAGTGCAATCCCCTTCACAGTCCAGTGAGGAACCGCAACCCCCATTGTTCTGCTCCCCACCCCATTTGTTTCACTCTGTAGCCTGGCTGGTCTTGAACTCTTGATGCACTTGTCTCTACTTCTCTAGTGCTGAAGATTACAGACATACGTAACCACACCCAGCAAGACTGGTCTTTTGCTCTGGCCATTACCTCTGATGAGCAATGTACTTCTTGATATTTTGTGGAACACCGTGAGATACATACATCTTCCTCTTTAGTGGATATTTCCTTCTGAGATTCCATCACACGGTGAAGCAGCTGGACAGAGGAGAGAGGAGCCATGGAGAATTCCTTTGTTCTTCCCATCTGGCCTGTGGTGGCAGAGATGGTTCTTCCCATCTGGCCTGTGGTGGCAGAGATGGAATAGTATTACTATCTAATGCCTACTCAGAAGTCGAACTGAATTGAACGATTGGCTTCCCGCCAGTCCTCTAAGGTTTCTCTGGCTTTCTCACAGCAGCCATCAATGTAACTGATGCTTCTAGTTTCAAACAGCACACTAGATAAAAATGCACAGATTACTTTTAAAAAGTGATGGTTTTTCTAGCAATAGCTCTCCTTGGCTGTTGATGAGTGATCTCAGGGTGGTTATTTGGTTGAGTCGAGCAGTAGCTGAGGTAGATAGTAGGAATAGACATTATATTCTTTCTTAGACTGTAATTAAACAGAACACACGTTATCAGGCTACAGGGAATGACTCTCCTGCCTATGAGATACTCACTGTTCATATGAGGGGCTGGGGCCTTAGGATTCTTTCTTGGTCTCTCTTTCATTCATTCATGTGTTTATTTAATGGTACCCAAGATGGAATACAGGATATTTTACATTCTAGACAAATGTTCTGCCTTGGAACTGCACCCTTACCCCCTCTTTCTCTGTACTTTTGCAGGAAAAACAAGGCGGAGGGTGGCTTCCACACTTGGCTAGTTTTCTATGAATCTTGTTGTAAAGCAGAATAGCTCAGGATTAAAAACCTGAGCCCTGGAACTTACAACTAGACTCTAACTTGGTTCTGCCACTGGGTATCTGTGGGACCTGGTGATGGCTGTGACAATTCTTAACCTCTTGTCATAGCCACTGGTGTTGATTACAGACATTCAGTTTCCCTCTTCTGGCAATCAGAAGACATGAAGCAATGGATCCTGGCTAAGGTGGTATCCCGTGTCTAGCTCTAATTAAAGGCTTGTGAGCAGATGCATTCTATGTGTGTTGGTGAGTGTATGTTGAATGCCTGGAGGGCATTCTTAACAGTCTAAATGGTGGCAATGCTCTTATAGCACGTCCTAACTTTGTATCTTACAACATATCTATTGCTACCAAAACAGTTATTAGTCCCATGTCTTTGAGAAAAATCAGTTATCCTTGAAACAGAATCATAGCATGTCTAACTAGAGGAAAATAAGTCAGCCTTAATTTTTTTTGTGGCAATACCACACTTTATTTTTATTATTATAGTTATTATTTTTAATTTTTTTATTATTTAAGTTTATTTACTTTAGATCCTAAGGGTGCCCCTTCCTCTCCTTGCAGTCCCTTTCTCTTCTCCTCCCCCCTTACCCTTTTCCTTTTCCCCCAAAAGAGGGGAGCCTCTCCCCCCTGTATCAACCCTCTTAAGGACATCAAGTCACATCAGGACTGGGCATATCCTTATCCCCTGAGGCCAGGCAAGTCAGGTCTGCCAGAGGGAAGTGATCCAAAAGCAGGCAATAGAGTCCATGTTAGAAACAGCCCTCCCCTGTTCCACTCACCAGGCGACCCACATGAAGACCAAGCCATCCATTGGCCACATATGTGCAGGAGGGCCTAGGTCCAGACCATGCATGCTCCTTAGTTGAAGTCTCAGTCTCTGTAAGCCCCGATGGGACTGGGTTAGTTGTCTCTGCTGGTATTCTTGTAGGGTTCCTGTACACTCCAGGTCCTTCTGTCTTTCCCCAACACTTCCACAGGACCCCTGGAGCTCTGCCCCAAGCTTGGCTGCAAGTCCCAGCATCTGTGTCTCAATCCGCTGCTGGCTGGAGCCTCCCAGGTGACCGTCAAGTTAGGCTCCTGTGATGTCTGTCTTTCTGGGTCTGGGTTACCTCACTTAAAATCTGCAGGCAAATGGATGGAAATAGATTAAGTTCCTATCTTTAAACTTGTGTGATTCCAATAAGGATTTACTCAGAAAATTCATCCCAATAGTTCAAAGGTATTTCTCTTGGCTACAAAACTGACCTGTGTCCCTTGCACATGCTAACTTCTCACCGTCTCTTTGTTGTCCTACCGCCCTGAGCAAAAAGATCCATATCTTTGTTAGAAAAGTTCCAATGTCCTATTCTGAACACTTCTGTCCAGGGAATCACATTCAGCTTATGAATTTGTTCCTACAGACTTGTGTCCTCTTTACTTCTTCGCTTCTGTGTTCTCTTTCCACCAATAAGACTACTGCCCACAGTGATCTCTCTCCTAAAGGCATTCCTGCCTGAGCTTCCTAATGACTATGTTAAGATTTTTAGGATAAACCTTAGGAAACTACCATTCTGGAGGAGTCAAATATGCTAGTGTTCTATGATATTAATATGATACAAATTTATTTTGAATATGAGAAAAAACTCTCATCATATACATATTGGTGTTCCTGTTGGGTTCTATGAAGAACCCCAATGCACTTCTCCCTTCTTCCCTTGGTACATAAAATAGGGGGTTGTTCCTACAGAGCATGCTCGGACCTCCCCATGCCCAGCAGACGCTGGTGCTGTTTCTGGACTGACTGGGTGGGGGGTTTCTCGGAGGCCTCTTGTTAGTACTCGTGTTATACATACTGGGGCTATTTGGTGAAGGCTTCATTTATTACCACTGTGCAAGAAAACGACTAACACTTCCTTTCTTCAACCTCTTTCAGATTGAGGACATCATTACGAAGATGCAAGACGACAAGACGGGAGGTGTGCCCATCAGAACAGTTAAGAGCTTTCTCTCCAAAATCCCCAGTGTCGTCACAGGTAACACATCCATACAAGGTGTCGGTGACAACCAGAGTAACTACTGAACAGTTGTCTAGAGGGTGATGCGGGAGTGTCTAGGGATCTGAGTAACATGAAACCCTTTCTCTTTGGAGCTTGACTCAAAGCTCCTCCTAGTCTCTCTCTCTCTCTCTCTCTCTCTCTCTAGCAAATGCCCACTCTTTGCCAGTTATTAAGAAGCCCTGTAGTGTGATGAGCCTTTTAAGTGCGTGGAGCTACTGCCTCTGGGAGTAAACGAACCAACAGGGTAGCAATGTGGCCTGTGGCTATCAACAAATTCAGACGTGCTCATAAAAGTTAAGAAGGCTTCATTTTGTTGGAGGTTGTTCGTTTGCTGGTTTCTTTGTGAGATATGATCTTACTATGTAACTCAGGTTGGTCTTGAACTTGTGTTCTTCCCGCCTCTGCCTCCCAGGGCTGGGCTGACAGGTGTGTACCACCGTTGAAAGGAAACATGTGGAAAGGAAAGTTTCATGTTTTGAGACATTTCCCAGGTTCAAATTCTATAAAATGCTTTTACTAAGTTTTTAATTGACTGTGCTCCAACTCCTTTTTAAAAATTTCAAAATCTTGCTCTGCCTTCTGTTGTTTTTTGTGATTCCATACAGACAGGCCTGTTTCTTTAAAAATTAATATCATTTTTTGTTTTCTACACACACACACATATGCATGCACAAAGAGTAGAGGTTCCTTTAAAAGCCAGAAAAAATCATCAAGTCCCTTGCAGCTGGGGTTGCTAGTAGTTGTGAGGCTCCCAGTGAGGGTGTGGAAAGTGAGCTCAGGACCTCAGCAGACATAGCATGTGCTCCCACCCAACTGCTCAGCTGCCTTTCCAGACCCTTTTCTGCATTTTTTTTTATTGTCAAATATATTAGACTCATGCCTATAGTTCCAAAAGATTATAGGGCAATTGCATAGCATCTTACCTTATAAATAACATCACTATCTTAGGGTCCCCTTAGTAAGTGCTAATAAATTGAATTCTCCTCCCTGTTCGCTCTCTATTTTGGTTGAATAAGTCATTGTTTTTCTTCATAGCTTTCTTATATCTTTTGCTATCAAAAAAAAAAAAAACCAAACAAACAAGTAAATGAGTTTAGACAAAGGTTTTGGTAATTCTTTCATTTTCAAAATTTAGCTATTTGCTTTCCAGGAGTTCAGGAGCCACCAAGACTTGGTATTTGTCGTGCGCCAAAATGGTTAGAACAATAATTTAAAATATTCTGGTGGTGCCAGTGCTGGTGTGACATGGGGGAGTTGGGAGTGAAAAATGTTGCAGCTACTCTGAAAAAGAGTTTGGCAGTTTCTTAGAGACGTAGACATTCCTTATGCTTCCTAGGTATCGACTCACAAGATATGAAAATATGTTTTGTTCAAGCTGACCTTGGACTTGCTATGTTTTCCAGGCATGCCTTGCACTCATAATCCTCTTGCCTCAGCCTCTCGAGTACTATAATTACAAATGTGTGCCATCATACCTGAAAATGAATGCATCTAATAGAAATGAATAGCTCCTGTATTATTCTAACCTACATTAAGTAAAGGAGATTCTTTGGCCCAGTATATAGACTTGAGGAAGTTGTGAGTTTGGGAAAACATATTCAGGTATAATGCTGGCCAGGCTAGAGTTGAGGTTGGAAAGGGCATCCAACGGTCCTGTCTAGAACATAGTTTGAAATAAGGGATTGAAGATCTGGAGACATTTTATAGAAAAAGTATAAATGGAGGAGTCGCCCTGTCTAAAGACTGACAGGGCACTCCAACTTCCCTGTGTTGATCTGTAAGGCACCCCCCCACCTCATTAAGACACAACCTGATCACCCACACCTTCTATGATTTGGAGTTTGAAGTTTCCCCCCATTGACATATCAAGGAAATTTTTTTCACTCCTCCTATCAGGAACTCCTGAGTAAATTCCTAGATATTCCTAGGGTAAAGTCGATAAAGGAATGCCTGGTGCTCCATCTGTGTGTGAATAGGTTGTGGTTAGGAAGGCCCCAAAGGAAATGTACTGAAATAAGAGATGGGTACATCCAGGAGGAGAAGAAAAAAGGCAAGTAATTCAAACACAATCCTGTTCTTAACAAGTAACAAATGGGGAGCCGCAAGGGTGAGACTTAGCAGACAAATGTTCCTGTGGGAAAATGGATGGACAATTGGAGGGGGAAGAACAAGGTCAAGGACAAAGTAGAACCCAATGTTAGGTCATAACTAAGGCTCATTAGCTTGGTAAACCTCATTTGCAAGAAGCACAGAGCCATGTCATACCAGCTCCCCATCCAAACATGGAGATTCTAAGCAAGATGTCGGCAGAAAGGTCACTTCATTGTCATTCCAAAACCCTCCTCTCTGGACAGCAGATGAGCCTCCTCGGATCTTCTTTCCTGAATAGTAACTGGGTCACCAACATGATAATTGAAACAAGTGGCGAGACTCCCAAGTTCCCAGTTTCCAACCCTACCCATTCCCCACCTGACCAGCGGGAGACAGACAAATGATCCTGGGCAGAACGCCTGCCAACGCCATGAAAGCAGCCACCTCACACAGCCTTGCCCAGCTGTCACTGACAGCCATCCCAGGATAATTCCCCATGACCTGAATGTCCTAAAGAATTTTCCAGGGATTTTGGAGATTAATGTCCTTCCAGCTACCCTCAGAAACCCAGCACCTAGCATACAGGAGCCCTAAGGGAATTCTAAGCTCATCCTTTTTTTCTTTACAGGCAGGAATTGAGTCCCAATGACATGATGTAGTACATTTTTTAAAAATCATAGAGACAGAACCCAAACTAGAATGTGGATTCCTTACCCACTCCCATTGCTGCGTGCACAGAATTGTAGAATTATAGACCCTTGAGTCACAGTGCTCCCTTGAAGGTGCCTGATGCATTTTCCTGAACAGGTGAACCACTTGTATGGCTTCTGAAAAAGACAGTCTCAGGGCACTGTCTGAGGCTTGGACTCACCTCTCTGTTTTCAGCCTCTCCCCAGCTGGTGTCTAGAGCCTGTCTACATTTGGAAGCAGGCGAAGCCGTGCCAGGTTCTCCCAGCTTCTCCTTTAATAGCCTCCAGTGATGAATGCCCTTACTCCTCATGCCACCTTTGCACAACTTTGACCTTTGAAAACTTCTTCCTTCTAATGAATCGCAAGTCGCCTGCCTCCCCGTTGCTTCACGTCATTCATCTCTGTTCTACCTCCCTCTCCCAGTCAAAGAAAAGAAGAACGGCTTTAATTAAAATCATGCTCACCTTGCTCTCCTTTAGAATTTCTTATTGCACAAATAATTTTCAGAAAGCATTCCAGGTATGCATATGTATTTTTTGAAACATGTCTCCACACAATTTTCCCATGTGCATTTCGATCCCACCCATACCCCAGGAGTTCTCTTCTCTGAGCTTGATCTGAGGTGAACATTTATAGCGTTTCCATTGCACCTATCGGCAGTGTGGTTTAGAAGAGATCATTCAGGGGTGCAAAGGGCCTGTGTGACCTTGAGCGGACCACCAGCCCCTTTGGGCACCGATTTCCTCATCTGGATTAAATATTGTCTAAGGTTCTTCTCAGCCCCCACCTTCCTTGACTCCACAACCTGTAAGGACTGAAGAAAGGATGGGCCATCTTCCTGTCAAGTCTAGGAAAAATGATGCTTACGTCATTCTTGGTTACTCTTTGACTGCCCTGACCAGTGTGACTTGGCTGTCACACCTTTTCTTTTCCATGTGTGCATTCCTACTTTCTGCTTAAAAGGTTCATTTTAGTAACAACATCCTGAAATATGTCAAGTTGTAATTGTAAAAGGAAAAAAGCAGCGCTCTGATGTTCTTGCCCTTTGTGTCATTAAAATCTTGCACTAAATGTCACATTAATTCATCTCTCCACATTTTTTTCTTGCTTGATTTTTTTTTTCACCTGTGAGAAGGAATGCTAAGTTGAATGAAGGACAGCTCATTTATTAAAAGTGAAAATACATCACACAACCCCTTAATTGTATTCTAAAGCTTTTCTTTAAACATTTCTACACACGAAAAAAAAAAAAAGTTTTAGAGGAGATGAAACTTGAGATGAAATTAAAATCCAGATATGTTGTCATTGACTCTGAGGCAACGAGCCTGTTTTAAAGAAAGGACCAAAACACTATAATGGGCACTGTGCCCTGTCCCTAAGTGATGGATGGACGAGCTACCATGGCTGCCAGCTTCCTTGATCTCACCGCCTTCTCTATATACTATAAGGGCTGGGAGAGTTGCGGGGAAGAAGACTAACAAAATTATTTTATAAACACTTAGGGCGCAATGTTTAACCTGTCTCGCTGTTCCTAAGACATCATTTTCTAGATGAAAGAGTCTTTTTCAATATCTTCTACAGAATTCTGCCCTGTGTATTCCTCAGACTTATGTCCTTGCAGTGCTGTTTCCCCTGAGAATTAGTAATAAACAGAACTGCATGTTGTGGGTAGCGCAGATAGCGTCTGTTGACTAGTAATATTGCCTAGACCCTTCCGGCCTCTACAGTAACATCTGTAAAAGAACTGCCGAGAGGAAAGGTGAGTTCAGGAGTGAGAACAGGCATTCTTCAAGGTCACCATCAGTCTGTTTTCTGTTGCTAATCCGGATGGCTGAGATTTGGATAAGTTATTTTAAAAAATGGTTATTCTGGCTCACAGATGGAGGCCAGAACAGGTGCATAGTGCTACCCTCTGGCAGCTTCTGGTGAGGGAGCCCTCATGCTTCCGGTCCTGAGGGAAAGTAGAAAAGTAAGTATGTCAGGAAGAGGGTGAAAGGAAGCAAACTCAACTCTAAATAGCCTGTTTCGTGCAAGGCTTTAATCCCTCCTGCCCCCACTTCTCCCTCCTGACTCAGGCCCCACTTCACATCACTGCTGCAGCAAGGGAGAAAAAGAAAAAGTCCCAGCAGGACTTCAGCTTGGAGAAAACAACAAACAAGCAAAAAAAAATACACAGTTATCTGCTTTTCTAAACA